CAGGTGCGGAGGATGCCACAGCACCCCACCCCTGTGGATGTAATGGCTTGTGCCACTGCAAAGGGTCTCTAACATGCACCACATGTTCTTGCCAGCGGACCAATAGTACGGGCCAGGTAATCGCCCTGCCCGTGAATGGGGGGTGGGGGTGGCTGGTGGCAATGAGTTGTGAGGGGAGGTAGCTTGGAGTCAGGGCCCAAAGGGAGTGGAAAGACAAAGATGAAAAGAAAGGGAAACAGAAAGAACTCCCAAACTCCAGGACAAGGCCCTGGGGGAAGAGTATGGCTACATGGTGGTGGCAACCACCATGACAATGGGGCCGATCAGACCCTTTCCTGTAGTGCACTGCCACACAAGCAAACACTCAAATTGCAGGAACAGGGAGAGAGTTACTCTGCCAGCACTGTGGAAAAAAGGGGATGGATGTGAGGGGACTGTGTGGCCTGGGTGGGGAAAGCAGCCATGAAAAGGTTGACACGTTGCTGTGGTCAAAAAGGATGCATCATGGACCTCAGACAGGCAAAGTCACTACAAATCGGAATCCTGGTATGCAGCCCGCCAGCCACAGGTCGCCCCTCCCCAAGAGTGGAACTTCTGTGACATTAGTGACCGAAACTGACTGCTACCCATGCCCAGGAAGGATCTGTGAAGGGTGGGTAATGGGGTGAATGACACAGGCTATTTGCTGTGCCCTGGGATCTGTGGAAGTCCCCCAAGTCACCTAAACATTACATGGTGTGATGGCAACGAGTCGGAACTGTGGCCTGGGAAGAAAGACAATTTGACATGGGAAGGAAGACAAGTCGCCCTGGGAACTAGGAGGACTCCGTTGGCCTGGCCTGCCTGCCCGGCACTCCCGGAACCAAGGGGGCTGTCTGTTATAGAGAATTGCACAGAATACCATTTTAACAGGTTCTAGGTAGCGTTGCCAGCTCTGAGTTGGGAAATACCTAGAGATGTTAGGAGGTGGAACCTGAGGACAGTGGGGTTTGGGGAGGGGAGGGGAGGGACTTCAATGGGATATAATGCCATAGAGCCCACCTTCCAAAGTGGCCCTTTTCTCCAGGTGAACTGATCTCGGTCACCTAGAGATCAATTGTAACCCCAAGAGATCTCCAGCCACCACCTGGAGGTTGGCAACCCTAGTTCCAGGTAGATGGAGGCCGGTGCTCTAATGGCTAAAGCATTGGACAGAATCATCCTGTAAAACTCCTAGGATGTGTATAAAGGAAACTATGTAAAATGGACTAGTTGTCTCTGTTTTACAGATATAAATTGAATATCAGTCATTATCACAAAAGAAGACATGGCTGAAGTTGGAATCCTAAAACCAATCAGGTTCCATCAATGTGAATAGGACTTACTTCTGAGTAAATATATTTAGGGCTTAACCAGGGGCGGATTAGCTGCCAAAGCCACCAGAAAAGCTCCTGGTGTGTCAATGGCCTGGCCCATGCTTGGCCCTTGCCCTGTGTGGAGCTGGCTTGAGTTGCTGCTGCTGTCACCCGATGGCCCTGACCTTGTGGAGGCATGGGGAAGTAGTCACAGAGCCTGGCCAAGCTCCACAGAGTGCGGGGAAGGCGGCAATTGGCCAGCAAGGGGAAATGCTGGGGGCAGAGCTCTTTTCTAGGAACATTTCTTTTCTCCCAGTCCACACCTGGGCTGAGCTGAAAGTCACACAGAATGCTAATTATATCACAGTTGCAAGGACTTCTCCAGCAGAAGTTCAAGGAAACATTCATGTTGCAGTACACAAGAAGGGTGATCATCCTTCTGACAGCTTTTTCAGTGCAAATGAGAATATTGTCTGGTTAAACATTGTCCTGTGATATGGATTAAAATTAGCCTGGGGTATTCAAAAACACGCTAGTCTGGCAATGCCATAACACAACTCCATAAACAGAGTAACCAACAGGAGAAAAATGGGGACAATACTGCAGACAACCTAGCTACCCTTAGAGCCTGAGGCTAGATGTGCAGCTATAAGTTCATGGTCACCTTTACTGCAGAAAGAGGAAAGTGTGACTTTGGAATGGTCGCCATTTCTGACTTAACCTACCTCACAGGTTGTTATGAAGATAAAATGGAGGGGACCACGAACATTGATCTAAGTTTCTTGGAAGAAAAATTGGTTACTAATGTTAGAAAAAGATGAGTTACTAATGTGAGGAATCAGAAGAAGTATGCTGCACACTGCACATACAGAGAAACAATTATTTGCCAATTCATATTAGCAGCATGTAATATATTTATTTGCATATGATGTTGGGTCAGGGTGGTACAAGGGAAGCCCAAAGAGAATCTTTGTTTAGGCTCTTGATAGCTATGGAAATATACCTTTTAGTTCATCTTACTGACAGGATAAAATAGAAGGAAAACAAAGTAATCTTTCTTCTATTTTGGCTGCTGGTTCAACTTTTTGGATTACTGTGGTAGCATACATATCCAAAGAGTATTGGTAGTCGGATAGTGATACTAATTAGAAACTTTGTTTGGAGTTAAATATCCTGTGCTTGGATATACCTTTCTCTAATTCATGATGTATTAAAGTATGAATTATAGGAAGATGGTTCCTTCCTGGCTATAAGAACAGTTAGAGCTTCAGCCCCATCAGACATATTGGAAGTTCCTTCCATTGCAAACAGTGGGGCATCCTGTTACTTAAACATGTTCAGTAATTAGAGTGAAATCTTTCTGTTGATCATATTACGACATACTACTTTTGTGTCAAGTCCATGTTATGTACCTTCTTACTTAGAAATTGCTCAGTAAATAACAATGCTAGAAGTAAAGTAGCTGTGAACGTTTCCAGTAATTTGTGTTTACAAACAGATCTTCATGCCCAAATACATATGAAAAGGCCATCTTTTGCATATGCAGTTCGATATATATAATATCATTAACAAGCATGCAATAGAACTCAACACTCCAAAGGTTCAAAGTGAACTTTAGTCCTCCACTGATCACCATTTAATACTCAGCCTTCATAAATTTCCCCCATTTATGGAGTGTTTTTGATGGCAGGCAATTCTTTGCTGAAAGTTAAGTGCTCTTTTATATGAACATATAAAGCAGGCTTTGGTTTGAATGAGTACATTATTTTGACAAATGTTTATTGGAAAGCCAATTACAACTTCATAAATCAGGGGCTCTCTGTGGCACATCGGGTAAGCTCACCATTGCCACCAGATGTCATTGCTGAGACCAGCAAAGCAATTAAAATAATTGGGTGGAATCCTGTCCCTCATCCACAGCACTGACAGTAGTCAAAACAGGAAGAAATTGTTTATTATCTTTCATTTAACTTATTAAAATACTTGTTGCAAGATGTCATGGCCATACTGGAGGGGGGGGGGGAATAACATTTGCTTTCAATTTGCAGTTAGATTAAAATGACAAGGTCAAGCACAATCCACAGGCTGACTGGCAGCTGAATTTTAAGAGCTGTCCAGAAGAGAAGGAGGAAGTGTTTGTGCGATAGAATGAAATCCTAGAAGGCTTTATCATTTTATTTCTGAGGTGACCCGTTTTTTATCTATAATATGGGAATTAGCAACATGGACATTTACATATCACCATATGTGACTTCAAATACGTGAGTCCTAATATAGCACATGTTTTGCTTATATTTATGGAGACCAGTTGAAGATAAAGGGCTTAAGTACACCTGACTGAGAGAAAAATGTAGCCTTAGGGTTATCCTTTCCAAGCAGTGTTTACGGGAAATGCCAGTTTTACATTAACCTGTATGTCTGTCTTTACTTGTTTGTACAAAGGAGCCCTCCTGTGGCAAAATCAAGATGTACAAGACAGAATGGATCTTCCTGCAGAATAGAAGGAGAGAGCAAAGTCACAATACCTTTTCATATGCTTTCAGGATCACTCCGGCATCGTCTGCCACCTCAATAAAGCATTAATCTCTCTGGTTTTAAATATCACTATACATTGTGAGGGGAAAGCTTTATCAATTTCACCAGGGCCCATTCTCCAGTCACATTGACAAGGCTGGGGCAATCATTACTAGTTCCACAGAAAGGGATTATACCTACCCTGTAAGTTTTTTAAAGCCATGCTGGTAAAATACTCTCCCCAAATTTAATCAAAGTTGGGAAAGTAAGGTAAAGAAAACAGCCATGTCATAAATACTTATGCTAACAGTAAAGGATGGAACATAACTTGTTAATTGTGACTGAAGTGCCACTTCCACACATTTTTACAGCATTTCCAAAAAGGCTATGTACAGCTCAAGGTCTTTATGGATTCACAGATCAAACCTAGCATCATGAACTGTGGTATAAGAATAAACGAAAATAGGCAACTGGTGAATAACTAATATATAACTAAGATAAAGATCAGATCAGATAGCTGGTGATGTGAAAAAATACTACCTAAGATCCTGGAAAGGTGCTGTGAACCAGATAACACATTACTGACCTTGATAGACCAGTGAGGCAGCATCATATGCACCCTGTCCAAAACATTCTGTCTTAGCCCCACTCTTCAAGAGAAACATTATGTAGAACACGGAGGGCTATCTTTCAGCTATGCTCCTGCAGAGTGCAGGGGGTTGGACTAGATGGCCTGCAAGGTCCCTTTCAACTCTAACATTCTATGCTTCTATGACTTATGATCAAGACTTAACATTAAGAGGCATGAATTACAGTGTCATGCCTGCAGTTATGAGCTGTATTTTTTCCTAGATGCAGTTGGCAAAAATGGCTCTAAATTACTGTTTCTACCTGAATGTCAAACAGAAGATCAAGTGTACAACTCTCTAGTAGCGACTGACAAAAATGTAATGATTTTGTTATTCAATTTGCATATTTAATTATTATTTTTAGAATATATAAATACAGCCGGTTTGTGGATTTGCAGATCAAACCGAGCATCATAAACTTTGGCATAAGGATACAGGAAAGCAAATTCTAACTATGTATTCTATTGCTTAAAAAGAAACACATACAAAGAGAAAGACAACTTTATAAACAAGTTTATTAAGTTTATTGCATTATGAACTTGCTTATTCTACACATTTCTTCTCTTTCAGGCTCTGGTCCATCAACTACATCTTGTGTGCATTGATTACGAGGATGAAAAAACCTATAATAAACAAGAAGAAAGCAAATGCCTGATACTAAAGTGAGAGCAACTGTCGTGATCACAAATAACAGATTTATTTTCCCATTAAATTGTGACTTCCAGAACATACAAGCACATAGTATAGCTGAAGTTGTAAGAGCTCGGATGCCATAATAGACAGAAAGGGGGACTTTTGTGTTTTCTCCCTTTATATTGAAAAAGGTAAATATAAGAATGATTCCCACCATGGTTCGATATACAAATTCTGCTGTAGTCGATTTGCAGAATTCAGTGTGCTGCTTCAGTGTCCAACACATACCCCCAAACCAAAACAGCACAACTAGAATGACAGCAATTTTGGTGCTCAATACCAAGATCAGCACAATACTCAATATCCATGATGTTAAAATGAACAATTTATACAAAAGATATGTTATTTTGGAAGATATCCTCATAAATGTAGTTTTATCAGGTAAGGATTTTCGTAATGCTATTTGGTAGTCCACGGTTGAACAGGTAACACTGCTGAAAGACACAACAATGGAGATATCTAAAAAATCAGAAAATACAAAAATTGCATTAGAAAAAGAGTTGCAGATTTTAAAATATTGCTCACAAAAGGATCAAGTAGAAGGCACATCTGGAATTCCCTTTCTGTGCAGTTTTTAAAGGGACAGCAGCCTTGTCATATTTTAACTTCAGACCTAGCAAACCTATTTCCCACAGCCTCTATCATTTGCATGTCCATCTTTTTAGCCTCCCTCTTTTCTGTATCCTAAGCACTCCATTTCCCCCCCACATGCTCACCCATAGCATAAGCCCTTCCAGAGCATAGATGCTTTCACAATATCCTCTCATTAACACCTCATTTCACTATCCTGTGCCTTCTTCCTCAAGTTTTCTTCTCCACCCATCTTTCCCCTTTTGTTAGTTCCTCCATACCATTTTTTCAGCAGTCTTGTTTCTTTCTTTCTTTTTTAATTGTTTATTTACATTTTCCATATTGTACATATATACATTTGTCTCTTCTTTATTAACACTTGGGGGTTAATTTTTACAAATATTTCTCATACCATTTTATGGCTTTATGCCATTTCTGATTAAATTTATCATCTAATTTTCCAGGCAAGAACATATTTAATTTGTCCATCTCTATTATCTCAAAAAGTTTATTTATTCCTCCTTTTTTGGTATATTATCCGATTTCCAGTTTCTAGCAATACAAATTCTTGCCATTGTATTTAAGTATACAATAATACATGTTTCATTGTATTTAATACCGTTGGGTGTGATGTTTAACAAAAAGATTTCTGGATTCAGGGGTAGATCTATTTCTGTTATGTCTTTTATCAGTTGCTTAGTACTTTTCCAGAATCCTTGTATCTTCTCACATTTCCACCAAATATGTAAATGTGTTCCTCTATTATTTTTACATCGCCAACAGTTCCCTGAAACATTTGTGTAGCACTTTTGTAATCTATCTGGCGTCCAATGCCACCTGTATATCATTTTTATTATATTTTCTTTGTACGGTGTTGCTCGTAATAATTTGATTGATTTCCAAGATTTTTCCCATTCTTCTCTCTCTATTTTATGACCCAGCAGTCTTGTTTCTGAGTTCTCTGTACTTTGGTTTTCTTACTTCTAGAGATGGCCTTCTAGCTGTAGTCCCGCAAATGTACTCCTCATCAAACTGACATTTTCTTTGAGACTTGAATTGCAAACATGCTCATACTTATTTCTGCAAAGCTGAAGTACTCATAAGTATTCCATACTGTCACACTAGCAAATCAGTGGCAGAAGCTACCCTCCCACATGCAGCGTAAAAACTATCTCAGCCCATCCATTTTGTAACATTCAGGTACACTAACATCAACTGCATACAACTGACATACTATGAAGTAGTTCATTTTTCAAAGTGGGGCTCAGATTCAAACCAGATGCTTTCTAACTTGAGGATCCAAAATGTCTCCACTTAGTAAGCTAGCCACAGACCCTGATTAGGAGATGCCATGTCCGGATTCCAAAACAGACCTCCTTTCTGAAGATGAGGCAACCATACAAGACTCAAATAGCCAGGCCAAACAAGCAGCCACATTCAGAGAGGAATGGCTAGGGACAGAAACAACATCTAGGGACCCAGAACCAGCTGATCAGTTCCCCAAAGTACACAGCCAAAAATCTGATGTCAATAACCACCACAAAAGAGCCCATGGAATGGATCAGCCAAGCTGGGTCTAAAAGGGTATCTGGAAATTCACTGGGAAAAGCATCCAAGCAAATGACTAAAAAGCAGGAACTAACATCCCCTCAAGAGTCAGGAATCCAGGTTTCTAGTCCAGCAGGAGAGGGGGCAGTCAGAAGCAGAAATCCAGCATCCCAGATTAATTAATGACAATTTATTTCAGTGTATTCTCATAAAGGGTCTTCTTATCCTTGTGAGGTGCTGTAGGCTCTTCATCTTTTGCATCTATGCCATTCAAGATGTGTGTCTTGCAGGAAGGGCGGGATAGAAATCAAATTAAATAAATAAACAATAAATAAGTCATGACTCCCAGGAAGCTTTGCCCACCAGCTACCTCAATTGCCACTGTCACCAGTGCAGAAATGCCAAGGAAACTGCCAAGAAATTACAGTGCCAATGGGGTGCAAGGCTGTGAATGCAAGAGCAGATACTCGTCTAGAAAGGGGGTCCTCAGAACCTGCTTGAACTGCGTCTAGTTCTGATTGACCAAGTTGTCAGCCAGCTTTCAGCTTTGGAGCTCAATTTAGGTGTCATCCTTAGTAATTCCATATGCAAGGCCATTCCTGCAAGAACTTTGCCCCGTGGAGTCTCAAAAGGGTTGCTAACTCCAGGTTAGGAAATTCCTTGAGATTTGGGGAAGAAGTCCAGGGAAGGCAGGGTTTGGGGAAAGGAGGGACTTCAGCAGGGTACAATACCATCGAGTCCATCCTCCAAAGCACCCTTTTTCTCCATGTAGTTTGGAAATCAGCTGCAATTCCAGGAGATCTCCAGGCCCCACCTGGAACTCACTTGTGATGAGAAAGAACTGTGCACATAAAGAACTGTGCCCGTGGACACTTCCGTCTACATAACTTGTTTATAATTTCCAGAGAGCATTCAAAGCAAGGTCTAGGTCTGAGACAAATTAACCCTGACATTTTACCACCCTGATTCCTGCAACTACATGAACAATGTTTAATTTCTAATAAATGGCATGCGGCACTCAAGCCTGTCTGATAAACATGCCCGCAAATCTGGAAGCTTTGTTTAGTAATCTCAGTTATGTGGGTGTATGCTGTGGTACATTTGCGTGACATTTTCACATTGGCATTTGAAACAGGATTCTGGAGCTAGTTTGGGGCTCAAATCATCTACCTGTATTCAGGATACTGAACTAACCAGCTAGTATGCCCTGATTTAATTAATGGGACTCTCCCAATGTACTGTCATAGTAGAGACTTGTTTCTCCTTCTCCCCAATCTGAAAGCTGCCTTCCCAATCCTCATACTTCATATTGTTTGTTCACAAAAGCTGTTTTTGGGAGCCAGGAGTCCATCTATTTCAAGGTGTCGACAACCTGCTGGTGATACCAAAGCCACTGTATGTGCCCTAGAGGACCATATATTTGTTTTCTCCTTTGGGACAGCTAGTACTTTGAATGGGAGTACTGGTGGAAGGAAAATTATAAACCTGCTACCAGTGATGCTTCTGCGATCTGATACACCTACACTGGTCTGATAGGAGGAGTTATGGGGTCAGGGTCAGACTACCAGCTTTACATGCAGAAAATCTCAAGAGCTGCTATAGCAACTCTGCGACCACTAGTAGATTTAGAAACCAGTCCTTTTTAAAGCTGAAAAGGTTACACTAGCGAAAAATAATTTCTCTGCCTGAGAGCCTAGAGCCAATGCCAGTCAGAGGGAACAATACTGAGCTATTATGTGTTGACTTCTAAGACACCTCCCCAGTGACTGATTTGAATTTTTAAGAAATTGATCATGGACTTATCAGTATTTTATCTAGTTCAGCACTCAGTACTTTGAACATCCATCAAGGTGGGGAGCGGTGGCACAGGGGATTTATCCTCTGGTTAAACATCTGAGCTGAACAGGACTGCTGTCAGTTCGAGCTCTGCACTGGTGTGAGCTACAGGCGTGTCCCCAGCTCGCCGTCCACCCAGCGGTTCGAAAGCTTCGGCGAGTAGATAAAATGGGTACCACTCCTTAGAGAGGGTGGGCACACTTAACCCCCCTGGTGGGAAAGTGTTAGCCAACAAACGGAAGGTCCTCGCGTAAGCTCAAAAGCGGAGAGAGATCTACACAGCTTCAAAGAAAAGCCTGCAATGGGCCATTCCGGCCAGACGGTGGCAGTGGTGCGCTGCGACCGAGAAAATGCTGACGACATCAAGGGACGCCGACTAAAGAATGCTGCCGGGACACGTCTGATTCTTACAGCTGACCAAACTCCCTGTCGACTACGAAGTGTGTGATTTAAATGATATATGTTGTCCTCCCTTATCCCCATCATTGTTAGTCCCGTGTCTACACATGAGTAACTGTAAATCGCTCAGAGCCGGCAGCTCTGCAAGGATTGAGCGATCAATAAATTGAAAGATTATTATTATTATTATTATGCCTTCTACTTTCTGTATGATGATATTACATCTATCCCTCGGACACTGGGATACAGGAGAGTTCATTTGTTTTTACAGTAGTTAAACAACAGCATACTGCAACCAAACTGTGTTTCTTGAAAACTGCTCAGTAGATCAAACTGCCCTCTTCTAGCTTGTTAAATACGAGACTCGAAGCAGCAGGTGAACAGTGATGACAGCTTTATTGAACACAAAGTCAGAAGAACCAGAACGAGACAAACAATGGAGCAACAGGCTCCTTTTTAAACAGTCCGGCCTTCCCTCCAGAACTTCCCTTGTTCTGATAGGTTGGTTTACAATACCTTGCTTAGACTCAAGCTCATACATTCATACATTCAGCTCCATACATAACATAGCTATAAAGCAGACTTACATTGGCTGATAGCAGAACTGTTAGATGTCATCAGGATGTAGATCTGAAGAATAAGCTGGGGTGTGCTTTCCAGGAATGTCTTAAATAGCCGGAGCATACTTATATCAGCCATTGCATCAATGGCTATTTTATGAACAATGCTGGAGAGGTCATCTATCAACTGATTCTCTGAGCTAATTTGTTTAAATGCAGCTTGGTGGCCATACTTCAGTGCAAACCAATACCTACAATGGAAAAAATACACAAGACAACATATTTTGTTTAGATTTATGACCACATTATATATTAAGCTGTAAGAAATAGGGCTTTTTTGTAGAAAAAGCCCAGCAGGAACTCATTAGCATAATAGGCCATACCCAACAGCAGGAAATCATTAGCATATTAGGCCACACCCCTGACAGCACAGCTCATTTGCCTATTAGGCCACACCCCCATGTTACCAGAAGTGTGGTCATCTAGCCATACCCACCTTTTGCTTCTTATTCTCTTTACCCCTAATTGTAGCCAATCCGAATGAGTTTCGCACGTTAGGCCACACACCCCTAATTGTAGCCAATCCGAATGAGTTTCTGCTGTTGGGTGTGGCCTATTATGCTAATAAGTTCCTGCTGGGCGTGGCCAATTTGGGAGCCAGCCAGAACTCCATAACTGTCTTACAACACTCTACAACTCTGTGTATGTGTGTGTGTGTGATTTAAAACATTTCCAGACTGTTTTTCTGAAGAATTCAAACTGGGTTGCAATAAAATGAACAATTCAAAATGAAAAGCAGCCATGGGAGCCTGCATGTTTGAACAGGGTACTGGTTGTATGCTTGAACACATTGCTTGCCCCTTTTCCTTCTGGCCATGGTTCCATTCAAAATTCTTCCTTCCAACTGCCTTGCCGCATGCAGGGGGAAATATGTAGACGTCCAAACTTTCAGCAAGCATGGCTGCTTTTCATTAAAATAAACTTCAGGAGACTGTTACACACATTTACTATGAAATGTCTAGTTTGGCCCTTTGGTGGTATTGAAACTCTCTAATATTCAGTAGTCCCATCTGTAAAGCTACACAGACATAAATGGCAAAACTTCCACAGGCAGTGGGGCCCTTGGATGACCAAGAGGTAAAAGGAGTAGTGAAGGATGGTAGGGAAATGGCTGAGAAGCTGAATGCATTTTTTGCCTCAGTCTTCACTATGGAAGATGAGAAGTGCCTGACTACTCCAGAACTGCTGATTTCAGGAGGGGTGTTGAAAGACCTGAGTCAGATTGAGGTGACAAGAGAGGAGGTCCTATGACTGATAGACAACTTAAAAACTGATAAATCACCAGGTCCGGATGGCATACATCCAAGACATCTGAAAGAACTCAAATGTGAACTTGTGGGCCTCCTGACAAAAATATGTAATCTTACATTAAAATCTGCCTCCATTCCTGAGGACTGGAGGGTAGCTAATGTCACTTCCATCTTTAAAAAGGGTTACAGAGGAGATCCAGGAAATTACAGGCCATTCAGTCTGACGTCAATACCAGGTAAGTTAGTGGAAACTGTTATTAATGAAAGAATTAGTAGGCACATTGATGAACAAAAACTATTGAGGTAGACTCAGCATGGGTTCTGTAAGGGAAGATCTTGTCTCACTAACCTCTTAGTGTTCTTTGAGGGCGTGAACAGACATATGGACAAGGGGGACCCAATAGATGTTGTTTACCTTGACTTCCAAAAAGCTTTTGATAAAGTTCCTCATCAAAGGCTTCTAAGTAAGCTCAATAGTCACAGAATAAAAAGGACAAGTCCTTTTGTAGATCAAAAACTGGCAAATAATAGGAAACAGAGAGTGAGTATAAATGGGAAATTTTCTCAGTGGAGGGTGGTAAGCAGTGGGGTACCACATGGATCAGTACTCGGTCCAATGCTTTTTAACTTGTTTATTAATTAGTTGGAATTGGGAGTAAGCAGTGAAGTGTCTAAATTTGTGGATGACACAAAATTGTTCAGGGTGGTGAAAAGCAGGGAGGATTGTGAGGCACTCCAAGGGGATCTGTCGAGGATGGGCAAGTGGGCATCAACGTGGCAAATGGGGTTCAATGTGGCCAAGTGCAAAGTGATGCACATTGAGGCAAAAAAATCCTAACTATAAAATCAGCCAGTATCAGAATGCCCCTGTATAAATCAATGGTGCGACCTCATTTGGAGTACTGTGTACAGTTCGGTCACCACACCTCAAAAAGGATATTATAGCATTGGAAAAAGTACAGAAAAGGGCAACTAGAGTGATAAAAGGGTTGGACACTTTCCCTATGAAGAAAGGTTAAAGTGCTTGGGACTCTTTAGCTTGGAGAAACGACGGCTGAGGGGTGACGTGATCGAGGTTTATTAGATTATGCATGGGATAGAGCAGGTAGAGAAAGTAGTACTTTTCTCCTCTTCTCACAATATAAGAACTCGTGGGCACTCAATGAAATTGCTGAGCAGTCAGGTTAGAACAGATAAAAAAAGGAAGTAGTTCTTCACCCAAAGAGTGATTAACATATGGAATTCACTGCCACAGGAGGTGGTGGTGGCTACAAGCATGGACAGCTTCAAGAGGGAATTAGATAAATATATAGAGCAGGGGTCGATCAGTGGCTATTAGCCACAAGGTATAGATAGGAACTGTCAGTCTGGGGCAAGTGATGCACTGTATTCTTGGTGCTTGGGGGGGGCCAACAGTGGGAGAGCTTCTAGGGGTATTTTTGGCCACTGTGTGACAGAGTGTTGGACTGGATGGGCCATTGGCCTGATACAACATCAGCTTCTCTTATGTTCTTATGTACCTCTTAGAGTATGCCCTTTTAAAACTGGATTAATGGGAAGTATAGTTCAAAAGCGTCCATCATCTTCAAATGATTGAGATTAGGGTGGCCAGACAATTGACAGGAGCCAGTTGAGTTGATCCCGTCTTGCCACTGTTTAAGAATCTGTACTTGCTGCCAGTTTGTTTCCAGGCACAATTAAACACTTTCACATTTAAATACCTAGATGGTCCTTTATCATCAAGCTCAGGCTGGCTAGCAAAGACTGCCCCTTGTTTATAGTTGCACCCAAATTATGGCAAAATCTCCTCTGGTACTTCAGTCAGGAACTCACATTAGTATAATTTAAGCATCATGCAAAACCTTTTCTGTTTATCCTGCTAGAGCTGTAAAGTTTCCAGAAATTTTGAAGTCATGGGGGACAAAACTGGAGGTGTTGGGGGTGGGCATGATTTGGAGGAAAAATTGAAACATACCGAATACAAGCCTAAACTTATTTTACTTAACAACATAAAATTAATCATTTAAAACTCAACACAAAAAATTAAATTAAATACAGACATTTTAAATTGACTGCTTGAGTTGTTGATATTCAGAATTCCATCCGGAACAATGCTTCTTCCACCAGAGCAAGCTCTAAAGTCACATCTTCATATCTAGCTTCATGGTTTTAGAAGCCAACCAGTGATGCCACATCACACACCCTTTTTCATATATAATACAGCCAAAATGCAGTAATGGAACTCCTCCTGCTCAGGTGACATCTTTCAATTGTTTAGAACTACAGGGAGAAATAACCTGTGCATTTATGGCATTACATCTGCTGTAGTAGCAACAGAAACTCCAAGTTCCTTCGGATATCAATTCTCAAGACATGAATTTTCTGAGATACATCATGTCCCATTCAGGGCCAGCTCACCCGCTAGGCGAACTAGGCCTTCGCCTAGAGCGCAAGCCGGGGGCAAGGGCATGGGAGGAGAGGCAGGGGCGCCTACGCGGGGAGGAACGGGGCTTGGAGGACCTCTGCCGCCCGGCTGCAGGAGGACGCGGCTGGCGGCGGTGTGGGCAGGGCGCGGCACTTTCCTCCCGCCCCCGCCACCCTTCTCGGCCTCTCCTGCCTGGCTGGGGGGGGGCGGGTCAGGCCTTTTCTCCAGGCGCGGCGCTTTCTTCCTTTCTGCTACTGCCGCCGCCAGGTGCCCCAAACCCTCAGCGGGGAAGGGGAGAGAGGGGAGGGGAGGAGGTGCAGCTGGTTGCTCTGGCCTCCGCCCCCTCCAGAAGCCCCCAAGGTGTGCCTCCCGCAGCCGGGGGAGGGAGGCCGGCCGGGGCGGCCTCATCATTATCAGGCATCCGGATCCCTCCATGGCCGCTGTTTTGCATCCACATCGTACAGGAGCACTTCTCTGTGGGGCCCCCGCTGAGGCATGAGTCTCCTCTCGCGTCCCGCTCGCCTTCCTTTTCCAGGGTGCAGGCCCGTTCCCAGTCCAGCGCTCTCTCTCAATTGCTCGCCTTCTTCTTCTGCCTTGGCTTCTCCTGCCCGGCGGCGGCGGGGGAGGAGGCCCAGGGATGCCCAGACCCCCCACACACACACGCACACCGCATGGCACCTCAGGAGCCCTGCGCAGCGGTGGCAGCCGCAGCAGCCCGTGGAGGGAGGCCGGCCGGGGCGGGGGGCAGGAGTGGCCCTTTTCCCTGCTCCCCCATGCCTTCTTCTTCTTCTTCCTCGGCCTCGCCTGGCGGGGGGGGAGGAGGAAGGCCGGGGGTGCCCAGACCAAGCCTTCTTCTTCCTCAGCCTCTCCTGTCCGGTGACGGGGGGAGAGGAGGAGGAGGGCCGGCCCCCCCCCACCGCCCGCATCTCCAGGCCCCGCCGGAGCTTGTTTCCAGGCCCCACCGGGAGGTTGGCATCTGCACTCGCCTAGAGCGCAGGCCAACCTCCGGCCGGCCCTGGTCCCATTAAGGAATAATACTCTAGAATAGAAATGCTTGCTAATGGCTCTAACAGCATGCTCTCCTCCCTCTAAATAATTCGTCTTTAAGCCTAGAAAGAAATCTCATTTAAAATGAAAGCCTTAACAGAATAATGCTTAAAGTATTTCATGGCTGATTAATTAATTGCCTCATGATGAACTCTTTCCGCTTGAAATACTTCTATTTCTTTTGGAAGTCATAGATTTTATTCCCACTATCAAAACATATCATGCATCCTTTTGGCACGGAACTAGAATGAAGGTAATGTGTCTTCATCTGCCTTTGCCAAACCTGTACATTTGAGTAGCTATACTGGCTTCAACAGATTTAAATTAGCTGACACCCAGGCTGTTGATTCAGACCTCTGTTTTCAGAAAGGAGGCATCCTTTCTGTTCCAAATGGGAGCAAGAGAAGTTTTTGAAGAAGTATAAAGATGAATGTAGTCACTTTGTTCATGTGAAATGTTTCACAAATCA